GTAAATTCTGAATTGTTGTAGGCCTATTCTGAATCTATTAGGCACGATCGCTATACTACAGGGAGCCTGAGGGCGCACTTACAGTATAGTATAAATCCCTGCTTGATCTTAACAACAGTATAATGATCCATATAAAGCTTTATACCCTATGCTACTACTGAAATTAGCTAAGCGAATTTAGATTTGAATTTCTGCCATTTTAAAAAAATACTAACATTTCTAATTCTCTCCCAAGAAGTCACAGGCTCATAGCAAAGAATGCGATGTGGACATTATGTATTTTACTAAGTCCACATAACACTATAAAAATAAATTCCTTACACTGTACCTACCAGTACATTACCATTCAGTACAACATGATGGAGGGTGCTTGTATTAACACACATCCATTAACCATTGAGAATATTATTGCTCCATGCATTACTCTAACTTCTTATCCATCAATCTAATATCTATCATTATTATACAGTAGTTCATTGTACTACTGTATGTTTCAACCTGTCCTACTTTCCAAGTATTCATTTCACTATGCATCAGTCTATTACATTTTTTTTTTTTTTAATTTAATAGCTCATAATTAACTGAATTTCACATGGCTATTTTGAGGTAGTGATATACTGTAAATGTGGTATGAATTGTTTGTGTTGTAACGAACCCATCGTAGTGGCAGAATTTAGTGGGGGCATGAGGCTGGGCATGCATTTTTTGTAAAGCTTCTCACAAAATTTGGATTATAAACCAAACAATTTAAAAAGAAAGTGTAAAAGATTTGAATTGAATTACTATTTGCAATACAGCAAAAATTTCTTTTCATGAATAAAAAATATTAATATACTCTATTAAAACTGATGTTTTCAAAAAGTTTGCACTTCAATGTTTTTATAAAATTTATTACAACTACTTTGCAGACACATGATTTATGACCACATAAAATATGGTACTGAAATGATCTAATTTATATCAAGTTATTATAGACAAGTCTTTTAAGTATCAACAATAAAATGATTTAAATCTAAACAACATTATACAATGATGATATTAAATATCAAATAGTACTTATCTACATCTAAACATTATAAAATTAAGAAATATACAGTACTGAAAAAATCTTTTCAATGTTATTTTTATTATCATTATTAACTTTTAATATTAATAACAGTATTAATAATATGTATTAATTATTTTTAAGTGAAAATGTAAGCACATTTTATTAATTCAGGGCAATAGGTTGTATAATATGTAGTGAACTGATTGATTTTTTGATTGATTAAGGAATTGATTATTCAATAAGTTGAACAGTCTATCAATTGACTTAATATCAATTAATCAATTAATTGATCAATTGATTACTTCATCAATTGATTGAATAATCAATTGATTGAAGTTTGATATCAGGACATAAATAAAAATGGAAGCAATCTCTCAAGTTTACTATAATTTATCCAGCAATTGTGCCTCTCTCTCACTCTGATTTATTTTTTTCACATTTGTCTGAAGTAATAGAATATATTAATCAATAGCTAAAAAAAACACGTCTATCTGAACGCAAGTAGGGATTTATTGTATGCTTCTATAAGTATTGTACTGTAAATATACGAATGCGTATCTGAGTAGAACGACAGTAAACATTTCACCACACAGGATAAGAAATACCTAGCTCGAAAAATGTCTGTTTTCAGAATTAATAAGATCTTGTTTTTAAAATGTCTTTGTCTTCACTCTATATAATATTATTTACAAATGAAAGGATTTGCTATGTTATTCAACAAGTTTAGCATTATAAACCCATCTCTTTACGGCAAATTACAAGCTGGCCCACACAGAGTGGTGTGAAAAGTAAACATGCTCAACAATAAATCCAGAAGCAGATATTGCTTTAATTCTACTTTTAGGGTTTACTAGCACAAGTATCTTAGTACCAGTGATCTTAATCTGAAGTTAGTTTCCTATACACATTGATGTGTAACGTTCTATATAATGCATTTTTTAAAAAGCTTTTCTATTGATTTGCAGGTAATACCTGATATCATTGCAGCTACTAAAGTTTACTTATGATTTGTATCTTTCTAAGTGTGCTTTAATTCTGGGAGCGTTTATGCTCTCAAAATCCCATTGGGATAGAAATGTTCTTGCACTTAAGCAATTAGAAAATATAATATAAATTTCATTCCATTAGGAATGTTTTTGAACATTTTTAAGAAAGAAACTTTATCCTTGCTCTATTTTAGTCATAAATATATAAAAAGAAGATGAACAGCAAGATAATTAGGTCAAAAAGCACCCATTTGTGTTGCTAATCCTGTCCGGAGCTAAAGTTCAGCTTTAATTTATAATATTATATTAAGATGTCCAAAATACTTGCGAAAAAAATTGATGTCATGTTACTGTATGTAATGTCATGGCTGACGCTGCACGAATTAAAAGGCGATAGTGGTTCTTCCCTTTCATAGCCGTTTAGACCTACTACTGTAGCTTCAGCCATGAGGCTTGGCAACTGACTCAAACTATAAAGACCTGATTATACAGTAGTCAGCCCATATTTGGTTTTAATATAAAACATTTAATCAGAATTGATCAAATCAAACAAGCAGTATACTTTCTTTTTTTATACAATATATTTCTCTGCCTTTCAGACAACAGAAGTACACGCATAAATAAAATTCATCAAGAAACAGTAGCATATAGCAAAAGTGGAGCCAGCACAGAATGGGTAGCTAGAGTAAACTTTACTGTATAATAACTTTCTTTCGGATGAGACGTTAAAGCCGTTGGTCCTGTGTGCATTTATGGCCCATGTGCACGTTAAAGAACACAGTACACTCTTCGGAAAAGAGTAGAGGATTTTCTCCCGGTGTACTGTCCAATCACCACCAGAAGGACCCCACTGGAAATAAGTCTTTTTCGAGACTTTCGTGGGCTATCCTTGGTGTTTATACCGAATAAATCCAATCCAATCCAATCCAATCCAATAAACTTTAAAAAGCAAAGTGATTAACTTGCAAGCTAGTAAATGGTCGTTGTATGCTGATAGTCACAATTACCCAGATCCAATAACTCAGCAATTAAACGAACACTTTGTTTACATCTTAGGATCGGATTTACTTTCACTGCATAGAGACTTGAGTACAATGTTAAGAGTATCGTCATTAATATTAGTCAACAAAATTAATCTGTACTTGTTTGATGCAAACCATTAGAAATCAACATCACAAGATCTTCTCACGTGTCATAAAAGCCACAATTTCTTTACTATTGTATTAAGCCCTATGCAGACTATCAAATTTTATTTAACAAAAACAAGTGACATGCCTAAATATGGCCATGACATCACATGACCATATATAGGCACATCATGACTTTATATGGTCAGAAAACAGTTTTTTTGTCAACGAAAATGTGATATTTCGGACAGAACGTAATACCCGTAGCTTTAAAAAGTGGGGCCTTCTCCTTTCCTTTGATAAATAATCCCTGGATCCTGCTTCTGACTAGATTTTTTGCCAATGCAAGTTATGGAATCCTATTAACAATGACAGTATTACACTTTGCATGTCTACGTAAAATACAGTATTTTCACTGCCAGTTCGAGTTATATACGGTATGTTTGCACAGTACCAATGTCCTACTTTCACAATATTTCTTTAATTCATTAATTATATTTTTGTATTTCATCATATAGCATATTCAAATATTTATTTATTTACTCACTTATTTTCATCTATATCTTCATTAATTTATCACCTTTATCTTTCTCTGCATAAAAAAATATACCTATGTTTTGCCCCACCTGACGTGTTATCGTACCGAATACTCAGTACGTCCCCAAATACTAGAGAAAAAAATTCGCAATCAGCAAGAAAAATCATTTCTCATCATACCTTTCAGTTGAGAGCTAATTATTTATAAATTAAATATACAAATCAAAGAAATAAATTTTACGTTTTTTTTTTTTACAGCAGGAGGTGGTGGTTTTATCTTTAATAACACAAGATAAGATCAAGGTCTGCCTTAGCAATGGCCTACATCTATTTTATATAGCTTTTGTCAGAAAAAAAAAATCAGAAATTCATTTTCCCTTTTGCAATACATATGACATCGCAGATATAAAAATTATTACACCAGAACAACTGTTTAAATCTATTGACAGATGGAAATTATATAATGACATTTATCAAGTTTATGATAAATGACAATATAGTATTGTACACTGTTCAGAAAATATTATACAGATTATACTATTAAATATACTGTAGTGCCTGCGTGCCTAGATTGTAGCCAGGAGAGGCTTACGGTTCTTTCTGATGAACCCCTCAAACTTCCCGAACGAGTCTTCCAACTCTACTATAATGCACTGCAGACACACATAGACTCAGACAGAATGTTTAGCTACAGGCACTTTCAAACATACTGTTTCTACAGGCTCATTATTTAGACTGTTTAGTCATAAAACACAAAAAAGTTGCTCTGGCTTTGCTGGTTTCTCCCCCAGACCCCCAGGGCTTCACCCCTGTGCTCCACTAGGGCCCATCAGCGGCCCATGGACAATATCTAGAGAACCCTCATCCCCGGAAGCACATGGCTACGGGCCTGTGTCTTGTACAAAATTGTTTTTGTTCAGTTGGCAGCCCGAGATGTGAACGAATGGTCCAATATTATACAGTATCTCTGACAGGGGGTCCACACACACACCATGTTTAATGCAAACTCCCAATGGGGGGGGGGCATGCCCATGCACTTTGTGAGTGATGCCCTTCTTGTTTTTGTTATTTTATTCGTGTCTGTTGCATATATTTCAGTTTTAGTTCAGCCAAAGCTTGTTAAATATGGTACTACCAATAACCTTTTATGCAAACTCCAAAATAGTGTTAAACATGTTCATTATTATTATTTGATTATAAAACAGTTAATTAATATATTACTATAGTGTAACTATAACACAATGCTGAATTACTAACATTTCCTCCTTTTATGATTCCTAAAGTTTTTATGAGGCTCTGATAACTGTTAATACTCCAAGGTATATATCAAGGCTCCCCAGTCATATTAGGTAAACATCAGATTTAAATGTTAAATAATACTCAATTACATAAATAGTATTCAAATCAGAGTAGATCTACAGTAACATAACATATTACTTCCTTTGCATCAGTGAAGTACCTGTAAAAGCAAACACAATACCTTGAAGTGCTGAACTCTGGTGATTCTTCATGTTTTTAAATGGGAACAATAGCTTCCTAATCTTAATCCATGTTGGAACATTATACTTAGAGTAATCGATACAATACTAGTGACTGTTTATTCAGTGTTCGATATACTTACAGTGCATCAACACAATGGGTGATCACGTCAGTGTTATTATTCAGCCCTTTCAGACGGCGTGTCCATTGTCAAGGCCTAGTGGTATAAAAAAAAACAAAAAATTACAAATATGCTTGAAATTCACATGCCCAAATTAATTCAGCAAGATACAACTAAAAACAAATATATAAAAAAAATAATGCAAAACATGATTAAACATGATTCAGGTCTTTACCTAAATATTAAAAAGCTTGAATGGTCAACATTTAAAAAAAGTCTGCATATTAAAATAATATGCTAATTGTGAGAGTTTTTTGGTTTTAAAGCAACTTCAAGGAATCAACTTTCTGGGGAATAACCAGACCCAGAGGACACCTAGTTGGAGAGAACAAGAGGCCGGGATAGGCTGCGAATAATAGGTAATATTAATAAGAGAAAAAAAAAATAATATCCTAGGCCAAGTTATGACAATGATGTGCTAGAGTCAGAAAGAGGACCCTATCCCACCAAATTTGTAATGTTCATAATTCACTGATAGCTGTGCAGTGGTGCTTTTAGGCCCAATAATTCTGTTGGAGAACTGGGGGTGGGGGGATAGTTTCAATAAACTTTTATATATTTACTTGTTTATTATACCACTGCAACATTTCTTTTCACATACTAACATGTTTTCCCAGGTCAATAATACTAACAAGAAGTCATGTTATTAATACTAATTTATCTTCAGTGCGCTAGTAAACATTCAGTTGACACTGATGTATTGAGAATTTGCCAAGATTGAAACCTCCGGTCATCTGGGGAATTTTGTAGCTTGGAAATTGCTCTACTTTCTTAAAATCTACCATCCCAAAGGCCTCACCTTCATCCATGCTGTAGTTCCCTGTCACTAACAATCACATTGTATTGCAACATGCAATTTCTAATTCAAAGTGTTTAAACATAAAATTTTATGTGGATATTATATTAAATTATATTTTTATAAATAAAATTCAAAACAGTAGGCTTACTACAGAAAGTACAAAGTAAAGCTGAAGTTAGTTTTTTTTATGGACTCTTTAACTACTTATTTAGGAATGTTAATATGAGATTTTCACCAGCAATATAATTAATAATTGTTTTTAGAATTATGTATTAAAAAATATATATTTCATCGGCAGCACTGTAGCCAAAGGGTCCACAAACAATTGTCCCTCCCCTCCCCTTTTACCCTCATTCTGTTTACTGGATCTCAGATTATTATTGTGGTGAAAAATAAGCAGGGTGATTGCGAAAAAAAGAAAAGAACGCTTATTTGATTACAGACCATTATCCAGTTATTATATTTTGGTTTGTCCGTAGATGATGGTAGTCCTTATACTGTAGTTATCAAAAATGATGAACTTGTTGTAAATTATAAGGTCAATCACAAATCTACTGAACATCCTATTTGTAATATACCAGGAGGTAAGTCCTCTGCTCTAGTTTAATTAATCTTCATAAATCAACACTCTTCATTCAAAATTTCAGCAATCTGTCATGCCTGCCTATCTTTCACATCCTGCCTCACAACCATACAGTCGGCCTAATGGATTTGTTCCAGTAGGGGGTCACTTTGAGCCCAATCACACTTTACCTCAGCTCAAGATCATTTAATCGACCTAGTTTTATCGGCTCAGGTCCCAGCAATGCAAGACATGGGCTGACTCATCTCCATATCTGAACATAAACCAAAAATGGGTTGCCAAGGTTGCCTTGATAGCGGGCAATTTTGACATCTCATATCATAACATTTCACACAAAAATCCCAACGCAAAGGAGGACGTTCACAGTGCAACCATGAGCAGATTTAAAAAACTAACTGTGAAATCAAGTTTTTAGTCATCTGTAGTTAAGGCATGTAATTGAGCTCTTGGATGAGGATACTAATTATACTGTTTACAGAGGCATCAGAAATGTGATGGGATTGCAGACATTCCAACTCCTAAAATTTCAGAAGGAGGATATGTGGGTCTAGAAAATGCCGAACACTATGTTCAAAAGCAGAGCACTATTGAAAAGTTGGTGGTACATTTCGACCACCACTCTATTCAGTATTAACCTTACTAATCCAATCACAAAATTATATATTACTTTACCTCAGAAATCACATGTATTTTTTTGCTGGCATGGACAGATATGGGGCGTCAGCCTGGCCATAGGTACAATTTGACTAAATGTCTCACACACGACATGCTGGAATTGTGCCTGAAACGTACTGAACATTGATATGGACACCAGAGAGTCATAGTGTATCAGTGTGTGCAGTAAATTTATCTTGTTTTTACATCTTTTATCATTTAAAAAATTGTCAAAAAGTGGGATATTTCAGGGGTTGGGCAAGACAGCAGGGGGAACAACTTACAAAAGCAATCCCTTAAAAAATTTCAATAGCTGGAATCCATGGCATTGTTACTCACAGCTGCTTTACTCTACAACAGACATCATTTGTTGAATGCAATTCATGTACTTTTTAGGTAAGTTTGAAAACTTGGTGAGGTACGGTATTGTCAAAGTTAATCCAGTGCTATTAAGAACATTTCTCCTGAGGATCACACTGTTACACTGTACCAGATACTGTAGGTAATAACCGCTATTACCTACAACATTACTTTAAGAATGACAGTCCTGTACCTTACAGTCATGATGCAAGGTCATTGCCATGGTGGGTATTATCAGAGCTTTTGTTTTAATACTTGGAGGAAATATAATATTACTGGAGAAGAGAATTTCAAATCTGATTATTTCCTTTAAAAGATTAATGATTCATCATGTATTGACACAGCCTACTGTACTCAGACACGATGTGGGAAACAAAACATAGTCATTTGACTGCAATATACAGTATTTCATTTTAATTCTCATTTTCTATTAAATTCCTTAAGCACGATTATGGTTGAAGATAAGGGAGGAACAGATGATTATAGCATTCTATCTGCAAACCAGCTGAGTGAAAACGGTAAAAAAAAGGTGGGTTTTTACAAGCACAAAAGGTTTGCTTGTGGACAGTGTTAAATTACAAATTTGGCTCTCCTTCTAGTAGTACTAGCCTTATTGTGATGCTAACAATCTAGGTAGGTAGGAGGTTGACTTGATGAATTGAATATTTTGTTTGTCAATAGGCCCTCATAAAAATTATGCCAGTTTTGAGTTCCAGGAAGGTCAATATATGGGATATCGACTAGAATTAAACAGAGATGAACTTTATATATCATATAAAAGGGAAACACATGACAGTTAAAGACAGTGGCTTCAGATCGGGAGACGGATATGGCTGAAGTCTAGGCATAGGCTGCAGTCCTAGCCTATAGTTCAGGCCTACCACTACAATAATTATGAATATTACTGTTAATAATCTTTTCACACCAAAATTCCATTATCACTCATATACTTTGAAGTCTTCATTGGTTGCCAATAAATAATAGTAATAGTGTAGCAATAATAGTGTATTGTATTCAAGGTTCTCCTGTTTTGTTTTTAAATCCATCCATCATCTGTCACTATCATGCCTTTCTGAATTAATTAAGTTTCGTTCTGCGACATGTTATCGTTCACTCCGGTCAAAAGTCCGAACAACCAATTATTGATTTCCGTGAGAACACAGTTCTTAGCTCAGTCGGCTAAACTGGTGGTAGCCACTGTGTGTGCGCTGAACCATGGAGATCTCTACGTCCGCAGTTTAATTCTCATTACTTCTCTCCCTGTGTTTCAGCTGCAGGGCTAAAATACAAGTTTAGCATACCATCTTTCGTGCAATATGGCCCATGTGCATGTTAAAGAACGCAGTACACTCTTCGTAAAAGAGTAGGGATTGTCTCAGTCTATTGCCCAATTAACCACCAGAAGGGTCCCACTGGAAACAAGTCTTCGAACCTGGTGGGTGGGTTATCCTTGTTGTGATTCACTCCTCAATACTCTTCTTATCTTATCCTGCCAATTGAATTTAGGCCTATGTGATTTTTATGGTCGCTGCACCTAATTTGTGGAACTTGTTGCCTTCGCTCATTCGTACTTCAGTTACCATTTTTTAGAGACTGGCCTGTTTTTGTTGTTTCTTATTAATTGTACAATAATGTATTTTTTTTTAATTTCCATGCCAGCAAGTTTTTTTTTTACTTTAATTTGGATAGGAGCACCTGAGATGGCCGAGACTCAAGAGATGCTTAAATCAATCTGGTTAGCGATGAAGGCGTATTCCCATCATATCATACTGCAGTATTCGTGCTTGTCTTGGTACTTTCATCTTTATTTTTATTTTTTTAAATTCTTTTACATTTCCAAACATCTCTAGCCTAGGCATCTCTAGCCTAGGCTTAGCTAGTTTACTCAGCTGTCCCAAGGCAAAACAACATAACTGAGATAATATTTTGAGATAATATTTGGGAGTATATTAAACACTTCTGAATTACCTATAAAAATTTCAGGTCTCAACAATGAGTAGTTTCGGAGATAGCACCATCTATCTTTAAGCATAAAATTTAAAATTTAGTGATTTTCCGTGGTAAAACAACGTAACTGCCAGATTATGTGTCAAAACAACATCTACGATGAAGATACGTTGTTTTGCTTCGGAATGGAAATAAAAAATTATTTGAGCTGACGGAGTCTGGCATAGCAAAATCAACTAGTTAATATTTTTATATCAATATAAAGCTTAACAACGAAGTATGCACAAGTTGGAAAATACATGATAAATTCAAAAAGTAAGTCGTACTTGCGGCGGTCCTGCATCTGACATGTTTCTGAAGTAAAACAACGTATCTGTAAATATCGTTAATAACTTTGCAATAACCCAAAGGTTGTAATTAAAATTTTACATATAATTATAATGTCTATAGATATAATAGTCATGCAAAATTATAGAAGGGTACAACAATTTATTTCAAACATAAAAACTTTAACTCGAAAATGTTATTCTCGAAAAGTGAAAATTTCAAGTTACGTTGTTGCTTTGCCATGGAACAGCCATACTGGCTAGGTCTAGGCCTTGA